GAAATAATTAAAAGCAATGAAGTATATTTTGCCGTCATTTTATTTCGGAATAGCATAGAAAATTGACCGAAATGTACCTACATTCTAATGCTTGATATAAAAAACTGTCCACATCGTTTTTATTACGACATGCATTTTTGTAATCCATATGTTTCAAGCTTTCATTTGATATATAACATGACTATACCTCTTCCTGGGGCAAAATGATCATCACTTTCTGGTCTCGTTTCCTGCTCTATATACTTTAAACTATGTCCTGTTCCCCCATGCCAAGCTGAGCAGTCGAAGATACTCCATCCACTTACACAGTTGTGTCCCTTAGCATGCCACTTACACAGTTGTGTCCCTTGGCATGCCACTTACACGGTTGTGTCCCTTGGCATGCCACTTACACAGTTGTGTCCCTTGGCATGTTAGACTCTGCTGGTCACAGGTTCAAATCCCGATAATTATCGTGGGTCTCTCGGGACCAAACCTGTGCTTCTAGGTTTCACCAAAGCGGTGTCTTCAAGACCTGCATCACTTCTATCTTTCATCCAACATGAACATAACAGCTGACACTCCATAATACAACTGAAATACTGTTCAAGGCATTGTGTAAAAACATAAAAGAAAATATAGAAAAATAATAATCCTTTTATATAGTGCTTTTCCAAGCTGGATATCTTGCTCAAAGCAGACATAATTTTTTCCACAGTTAATGGATAAGCGTTCACTCAGTTTTCATTCTCAGCTCCCTGGAGAGAATACAGAACCAAGCTGCCTGAGAGGTGCTGGAAGGTTAACAGTCATTACAATCTCATTCTACCAGGTTGGAGTGGTGGGGCAGCCTGGTGGTTAAAGCGCTGAAGACCTGGGTTCAATTCCCAACATGGGTACAATGTGCGAAGCCCATTCCTGGTGTCCCCAATCGTGATATTGCTGGAATACTGCTAAAAGCGGTGCAAAACAATACTCACTCACTCCTACCAGGTATCCATTCACTGCTGGGTGAACAGTGTTTTTTTAACTGTTTGTAATATTTTAAAGGCTCCAAGTAATATCTGGCCTGGATGTGACCCTTGTGCTAATTCCAGGTTAGAAAATGTCCCCAGCAACTTACGCTTGTTGTAAGTCTGGAGGCAACTAAATGGATCGTGTGGTCAGACTCGATGACTTGGTTGATAGCATGTCATCATAGCTTGACAGTGTTAAATAATTCTCAGAATATCCAGGGCTGAGAATCTTTCGAGGATCCATGAATTTCCACAAATTTTAGTGACCACAAATTTGTTAAAATCTAATGGCTTCCCCCTAAACACCCCCAAATTATGGACCACGCTCCATTGCAAAGAAGTTTCAGCTGAAAAGGAAAATATCCATTCTCATCCCTGAATATCAATTACTGGATTTTCTTGTCCAGACTTGATTGTTTACAGGCGACCCACGTATACCAGTAACTGGGGTATTGTTCAGTGCAGCATTAAACAACACACAAACAAACAAAAAGCATCATCTTCAAGTATGTTATGTGGTAACCACAGGAACCTGCATCACTTTGTGCTTTCCTCCCATGCTTGCCGTAAAAGGCGACTATGCTTGTCGTAAGAGGGGACTAATGGTATCGGGTGGTCAGGCTCACTGACTTGGTTAGTGCATGTCATCGATCCGTATTGTGTGGCTTGATGGATTTGTTGTCAATCACTGGACTGTCTGGTCCAGATTCGATTATTTAAAGAGTGCCGTGATATAGCTGGAATATTGCTGAGTGCGGTGTTAAACAACAAACAAACAAAAAAACAAAACTTTCCTCCCACATCAAACTGACATGCCAGGATATAATTGAAATACTGTTCAAAGCGGTGTTAAACCCAACCGAGGTGTTAAACAACATTAAACAACACACAAACAAACAAAAAGCATCATCTTCAAGTATGTTAGTGAGTAAACAAAAGGACAATTTCTCTGTTTTACTGGTGCTTGACAATCAACAATTGCATGATTTATGTCCTAATATTCTATGGTGCAATTTTGTTGATAAACATTTTTATAATCTTATAAATTGCTTCATCTATACCCTTAAAATTAAGAACACAATGCCATTTAGAAAGTGGTCAAATGTAACAAATGTTATATTTGGGATAACACGTTTTAGTAAAGTACAGATTCTTGTACTTTTTCGTGTTGAGTCCCGTCGGAAATTCGAAACCACACTGCCAGATTGAGGCACCTAATTACCTGTACACAAAGTCAGCTATCTAACCCACTTAGCCACCGAGGCTTTCACAAAAAATGAAAGTCTGACAACTGGAAGTCTAGAACAAATACTTTGTGTACCCCTCTGACAAGTGTAAATTGGCAGGGCTCCATGGCCAAAAGCTATGAACACATGGCTGAGTGGGTTAGATCGCCCTTAAAACAGTTGATTATCATACATATGCATGCTACCCATCTGATCCTTTCTTTTATAAAATGCTGTAGTAACTATTCAATCGATATTGAGGATTTTACTGGTTGGCTAATGAAACAAGATGATGAAAGACAAACCCAGCCATACTAGTATGTATTCTTGGAAATTTAAAATAAATCGCTTGTTTTGTTAAGAATGAATACCACACACAATTCTAGCAAGGGAAGACTTTTAAAAGGCAGAGTTGGTTCACATCAGGATTGTTTACTTCTCAAAAGAAGTTCAAGAACACCCGATTTTTTATATATACCGTATTCGACGTAATAAGTGCCCCGCTCTAATAAGCGCCCACGTCGAGATTTGCCCCTATTCGCATATAATACCTACCGCTTCCTTCCCCTATTCGCGTACAATACGCACTCGTGTGTTATATGCACCCTTTATTATTGGCAATTAAATTCTGGAAAAATATATCTGTCGTACATAAGCATTTCAGGCTGTTAGCATAAACCACGAAATTTATCTTTCAACCAAGATAATATTCTAATAAGAGCCCCCTATTTCTAATTTTGAGAGCGCCCTGGGCGCTTATCACGTCGGATACTGTAAGTCATCTGTCATGTCTGTATTACATATGGCATAAGTACTACATCTCAGGGGGCACGGGTGGCCCAGTCGTCTAAGGCGCCGCGATTCGCTGCACAGAGTTGCGTCCCTTGGGCACGCCAGAAACCTATGATTGTGGGTTCGAATCCCGGTTCGCCCCAATTATGTTTCTAGGTTTGTCAGCACCATACCCGTGCTCGTGGGTTTCACCGAAGTGGTAAACGTCTTAGACCTGCATCACTTCGGGCTTTCCTCCCACATTAAGCTGACACCCCGTGATATAACTGGAATACTGTTAAAAGCGGCGTTACACCCAACTTACTCACTCACTCACTACATCTCACGATTCTTGTTCCTGTTCTGTTTTTCTTTGAGCGTGTGTTTTGTGTGATAGGTTATGTTAACAGACAGGTTGCATCACTGACTTTGAGCTAACATCCTTAAAGATATAATGAAAGTGAATTTATAATAGCAATCACATCTTTTACTCTGGTACCATACCCCTCTGCTACAAGATCTGAACAGAGTAGTGAATACTAAGTGCGATATATGACTCACTCACTCACTCACTCACTCGCTCACTCGGAAAGTAAAAGTAACAGATGCCAGGGCTTAACGACATTACCAAGGTCAGAGGTATGCAGGACTTGCAACAATGCGGAACTGCCAATACTGTAGACATGGATTTGATGGCACTCATTTTCATGCCAATGGAGAAAAATTCTATGCATCAAAGTCTATTGTAGATGTCGGAGGTATTTAAAGTGGGACCAATTTCTAAAAATGGGTATTTTTTATGTGGTATTTTAGAAGCTGTGTCAGCAATGAGGACAAAGTCCATTTATAAATTTCTACCTTTTTCATTCTTTCGCACTGATACTCTACAGAAATTCCCCCTTTCTCAGGATATTGTATAGACAATCCAGCTGTCACAGGCATATTCTACAGAGCTGTATTTTGCATTTGGAACACAATGTACGCCTGGGGATGGTGTAAAATCAAACGACAAATGCCTACTTAATATTTCAGTGTGTCGAACATGCAACCTTCGCATCTGAAGCCGAGTGAGTGAACCAGGCGCTCTTTCCATGTACATGTACGCCAGCAAGAGACATTTTACGTCCGTTTCCCAAGGTTCATGGAAAGTATGTTTGAGACATAAAAATGTGGATAAATATTGTTTCAGACGATTTCTTTCGGTTTAGAAGTTGGTTGACTGAGAATGTAAGCCCGAGGATTCGGGAAATTTGGTCAATCTTCGGCCCTCACCGTGGTCCCCCAAGGTGGACCAAGGAAAAGGTTTTTATTCTTTACTAAACGACCGGCGCCATAACTGACCAGGCTATGTGGTCAAAAGCCCAAGTTTTCAGGTCAAACGGGGCCTCTATACATTTAGATTGTTTTAAATCGTGTTCTTGCTGTTGAAGTACATTATAGAAGTACCGTACAAGGAAACTACATATGATACCTACAACGCCATGTGTAACTAACACGCCTCTACGATGAATATTCTTCTGCAAAGATGAAATAATGAACCGAAGAATCAGATATTCCAGAAAGCGTCAAGAGTTCAAATATACAGTACTAAATTCGAAAGAAAACACATTGTAATCAATGCTATTTTGATCGGACGGCAGGCGACTATATAAATGGCTGAACTCACAAGGTCGCAGTGATGCTATCTTCAAATTGCTTCCAAAACCTCAGCGAGGGAATTAGTCACAAAACAGTATACACATAAACACAGGTTTTTACCTCACTCGTCAAACAAATGTTACGTAACAGAAAATCCGTCACAGTTCAGTTTCCCCTGGAGCAACCTACAATATCTTAATTTCACCAGATTTTCACGCTACATCAATCAAAACAGCCAGCTAAATAGAGGTCACACGTGTTCAACCGTGAGTAATTCGTCTCGTCAAGATTCTGTATAAAGATTAAAATGTTAGTATAAATATGGATCCACCCGTTGATACTCTATCTGCAATTTGCCCTGTCACTCGTCAATCTACAATGTTGCTGATTTCTCTGTTCGCGATTGTATTGGTGGCTTCTGAGACACATGGTAAGTATTTCAACTGCGTTAGGAATTATATATTTTCAAACTCTATTAGATGTAAATATAGTACTAAAGGTTAAGTCTTTATTAGTTTTGGTGGTTGGGTAGACCATGGGCGGATACAGCTTTTTTGAAAAAGGGGGGGGGGGGGGGGGGGGGGGGTTGCACAATTAGGATCTATTTTATTGTATTTGGTGGTAATTTATACAGAAATAAAGATTTTTTCGAAATAAAAAAAGGGGGGTAGACTAATGGTAAAAGCGGTCGCTCGTCAGGCCGAAGGCCGGGTTCGGTTTCGATTTCCCTCATGGATACAGTGTGTTCTGGTGTCCTCCTCCGTGATAGTGCTGGAATATTGCTAAAAGCGCCGTAAAACCCCACTCACATAAGAACACTGCAAATTTTTCCGGTTTATTTTACACTATATAGAATACTTTAGATGCCTTCGTTCATGTTATTCATTGGTTGAAGGATAAGCATATTGAAGATTTAACAAAGAGCTAGCTTACCTCGTTTAACTATGGAACTGGATGCTCAGATTTATGCAGTTGTTCAAATTTTGAACTCGTTGAGAGAGATTCTTTTTAAAATCCGCCAACATTTCACCAGAAATATACCTATTAGTGTGTTGATTAAAAAAATATTTAAGTCCGCGGCAGCGACAGAATGCTGTAATGTTTGAGAGATCTAATGTCATCTTATTTATCTATATATTCCTTATGGAATACTGCAATAGGGAAGTTCATCTGAAAGAACAAATCAAATTTGAAAAACATTTGTTTTACGCATGATTTTTTCACACTAAACTCACGAATTTTATATTGATGAAAAGGGAAATCGAAAGCTGATGTTTTTTGTGACCAAAATTTCTCGTGTATTTTATCTCGCCTGACAAGTCGTGGTGTTGTCCGTTGTTAGCTTTTTCCTTTCTGACATCTGCTCTTAAACTAACTACAAGGCTTAGACTACAAGTTAAAACTTTGTATTAAGGATCCCAGGTATTGGGTCACTAAATGATACTCACAAAATTCCGATCCGACTTGAAACAGTCGCTTCTTCTCCAGCCATTTCTGCATGTATCATTGTGAAATTCGATATGCAGTAATTATATTATGGTAATCGAAATAACATATACATTTTGGGTCATTTTCTTATTTTCTTAATCCAGCTACGATCTCTGACTTTCACGTACCCAATGATCCGCACGCCGAATTTGGGCCAGCTTTGCTCTGTGTTTGAAGGAATAGAAGAGAATATAGGTTTTTTAGCTTTGGGATGTGATTTACCTACAGCTGTTATTGTTTGTCCCCAGGTGCTGTGATCCCCGTCCTCGGGTCACAGGTCTCTTCCTCTTCAGTCTTCACCTTCGGCTCCACGAGCTACGGCCCACAGTTAGCCGTAGACGGCGGACTTGGCACCAACTTCATTGCTGACATGACTACGTTTGCAACGGCTACCACAGACACAGCCCCCTACATGGACATTGACCTGGGCAGCAACTTCGTCCTCCGCTCCGTCACCATCACCAACAGGGGTGACTGCTGTTGTAAGTAGAGTGAGATGGGGAGGTGGGTGAAACGCCAATTTCAACAGCATTTCAGTTAAAGACGGCGCTTCAGTTAAATGCAGGAGGAAAGCCCAAAGAGATGTGGCCGTAAGGCTTTGCCGCTTGAATCGGACCAAAAATCAGAATCAAGTTAAATCTGCGATCCAAACTCACGATAAGGGGACCAAGGCACGCCTAAGGGTTGTAATTCTAGGCGAATTGTGGCATATTACACGACTGCCGCCCCCCCCCCCCAAGCGTTGTAAGTAGAGTTTGCAGTCGTTTTCATGTCTGTCTTTATCTCTTGGAATAAACTTCATTAATGCAAAGAGAATATTCGCCAACTCTTGCAATATTCTACTACGATTGTCTGTCGAAAAGGCACTGTTTTGTGAGGAAATTGGAGCTTGAAATCAGACGTGAGTTTATTCCGTATAGAGGATAACACTTTAATAGGCCAAAGTGGGAACCCAGGTAGTTTGTATACTATCGCTGTAGGAAATTATAATATCACTACTATCAGCATTCAAAACTGATACTGCTGGGACAATTAAGACACATCAACCTCGTTGCGCAATTTCCTTCACTGGATTGCCTCGTCCAGGCTCGATTATTTATGTGTCGCTTGACACGGCTTGAATGTTGCTGACTGCGGTGCTATACGACAATTTGTCGTGGATGTATATATTCAGTTATAAAAGTATAAATATACATCTATAATCTTACACCAATCGCTGCAAATGTCCCCTTCTTACCTTTACGAAGTGGCTTTTAGAAGATGTGCTTCCCCATTCCCGCTCTAAAATCAAAGAAACGCTGGTCAGTATTGAAATGTGTCTTTTCAAGATGACTAGAAGAATGGACATTTCAAGAAAAATGGGTACTTTATCCTAGAAACCTCACAGAACTCTCCACTCCTGTAGTGTTTGAACCTTGTTTCTTCTATTTAAATACGAGTTGGGGATTATGAATGTTGGAAAGTCTAGTAGGATAAGCTATAACCATCACCCCGAAGTCCTTGTAGCTTGTGTGCCAGTGCTACAGGTAAATAAAGGCTGAAAATCATCCAGCCTAATTTTAAGTGTAAGCAAAATCAATTTTACGAGTTAATTAAGCGCCCGAGCCCCAGACATTTCTCAAAATGAGATGCTCTTAAACGATATTTCCTGCCTTTTGGGACTGTTTAAGTAAGTAGAAATAATGATAATAAATTTATTATGTTTTTTTTATTAGTAAGTTCATTCAAGAAACACCTATGATGACAAGTGAAATTTGAACATTTAAACGAATCGATAATTTTACTTTTATGTGTTTTTACATGTTCATTCGTAGTAAGTGATTTGATTTTTTTTCATATTTTAACGCGCGCCTACCTATCATAATAATGACAATAATTGAAAAAATAACTGCTCGCCTGAGTGAAATACGAGTATGTGTAGTTATTTGAAATTTTCATAAAACTATACTCGCTACTTTTTCTTTAAATTATTTCCTAAAGGTTTCGTTACTCCATTACTGATACCCAATGAAACATTCAGATTTTCAAGTAAGAGAATACATATCATGTTTGACCGTGTAGAGTTTAAAATAACAATTTACTGCAAAGATGGTAAATTGAGGTTTTCTTATCTTTAAAAAGAATTGTGCTTTTTGTAGGTTCACAAATGTGCATTTTTCTGCTACAATGGTAGTTTCGCCCCCGTCATCACTTATCGACTGAAGGCGTTGTATGTTATACAAGTGCATATCATTTTGTTCACAGTTTGTACTGCATATCTTGTTTGACATAAGGTGTTGCAAATGCAGTGGTTCACACACACGCCACAGATTGTGATGTACATATCAGAATGTTAATCTCTTGAGGCGCTCGTAAAATCTCTTAAATTCTCCTCCTTCTCCACTGTCACGACTTTCAGTTTAAAAAACTAACAGCCCCCAAAGCTATTAACCCCCCCCCCCCCCCCACCGATATATGCTTCTTAGAGGGCAATGGCGAGGAGGGGAAGGGTCAGCCGTCTAACTGTTTAATGTATTCTAAGGATGTGTTCGTGTTGTTGGCCATTGCTCAGTAATAGTGAAGGCAATTATTGAGGATACTTGTAATTCGTTGATAACATCTTTCTCGGATTATCGACGGATTTTTGAATTATTGAACAAAATATTAATGACAGCCCGTTATGTTTCCTGCCATTTCCAATCCACACGTTTACTTTCTAAATCGCCCACCCGAAAAAAGTCCGCCAAGCAAAAGTATGTTAAAAAACATAAAAATAGTATTCAAAAGATATAAGCATATTTATCGAAATACTTTCTAGTCTTTCAATCTTAAATTCTTAATTTTATCCATAATTCACAAGCATGTATTTAAAATAAACATTATTATATGTGTATGATATTTATCACCTTGAAAATAGAAGAATCCGTCCGGCGTTGCGTTCAGCATTCTCTAGCGTTGCCTCTGTCGTCTGCTACCACCAAGGGAGGCTATTCCGAGTTAGGCGTGTAGTTAGACTAGTTCAGCGGTTGGTACGCGCAGGTAATTATGCGCTAACACAGCGCGGTATACTTAATCCCAGTCATTGGGTCAGTTCTCGCGGTCCCGCATAACTGCAGATATGTTTTACATAAGAAACATATACAGAATTTAGATCATACATAGCGTACGTCTCATAACCAGAGTTTGGTTATTTCTTCAAAACGTTTACTTCTATATGTCAGGAGTGACAAGTAACATGTATTTGGGCTGGGACGAGTCCGAATATACTACCCGGGTACCCCCCCCCCCCCCCCCCCCCCCCCCCCCTCTATTACCCGACCCTACCCGGGTATCAAGAGATGGGTACAAAATGTCCGATTGAGAATAGTTTAACCGTAGCCCTGGCAAAATGTATTTAGATTCACGTATAAACCGATCTGGTCATGCATAAACTGAAGTTGACTGAAGTTTTATCTTTATTCAAACATATAAAGTCAGAAGGAATGCGTGCATAGCCAGAAGGAAATGCAGTCGACCACTAGTTTACCGGCCCCATACTATTTATGTCTAACTCGATATTTATGTGTATAAACTGAATATTACTTAGTCCTTATCACATATTACTTTAATAAATGAACTAAAATCACGTTCAGCTATCAGTGTCGTTCTTGATGCTGTGGTCTGCTAATGGTTACCTCGATATTGTTAAATGCTTAGTAAGACATAATCACTCACTTTTCCGATATTCTCAGCCGAACGTCTTCGAAACATCAGAATCGAGGTGCATGACAACAACCCAACTCTTGGAGGAACGCCTCAAGTGTGCGCCACAATCGGCAGCCCCGCCCCCGCCGCCGCGTCGACCACGACATTCACCTGCGCGGGAACACCAATCGGAAGGTACATCCGTCTTAACAAGTTCGCCAAGGCCGACGCTAATGACATCCTTCAGTTAGTAGAGGTGGTCCTAGATGGCGTCCAGCTACGTAAGTATATGACTGTATTTATCTGATGGTAAGACATCACTTGATAGTTTCAATTACTTACTTTATTTCTTATTAAGTCTGTGATATTTTCCTTTCTGTTTAAGCGTGAATGCTTCTGATGAAATTACCATTTGTTCTCGTCGCAAAATTGCCGATGCAGCGTTAAATAGCAAATCACTCGAAACATTTAAAGTATTAGATAGTGTGACCTTGGACAAGGAAAACGCCATGCTCGATGGCACGGGTGGCTTAGTCACCTATAGGCGCTGCAACATTGTGTGCTACGTTTCGCCCCTTGGCTGTCCCAGGATCCGCTGATTGGAATATTTGGTCCGCATTCTGAGGTTTTCCCCGAGTGTGATCAGTGGTGTATCAACACCATTCCCGTTGGGGAAGTACTCGCATCTACTTTATGTGCGCCATATTGGGGTTTCCTCCAACATTTAGCTGACATGAGGCTTTGAAACTGAAATACTGGTTAAGACGGCGTTAAACCCATCTCACTCACTCCTCCACAGAATGTCCTTGCAACCACTTCCAACTGGACGAGAACTGTTTCTACTTCTCTGGATTCCAAACAACCTATGCCCAAGCGAAGGTAAACATCAACATCGCATCCACGTGCAATATTAATTACATTTTATATTTATAATATAATGTTACATATACAAAGTATAATCTTTAATATATTGTCACTCTGATGCAAGCATGTTTGTTACTGTAATTTACACTGCTGTGTCTTAAGGGTGGCAAGTCTTAGGTTCAAATCTCAGATAATGAACCTTTCTCGTGGGTATAGCCAAATATGTAAACGACTAAAGCCTGGGTCTATCCCGGGTTTCCTCTCACGAGCTAAACCAAACTCACTCATGACTGGAGTGAAATAATGGTGAGCGGCATTAAACCAGATTCACTCACTAACCCTCGAGACCCGTGAAGATCCGGGGTAGAATAGGTCTTCAGCAACCTACGCTTGCTGTAAAAGGCGAGCATGCTTGTCGTAAAAGGCGACTAACGGGGTCGGGTGGTCAGACTCGCTGACTTGGTCGATGCATGTCATCGTTTCCCAATTGCGTGGATCGATGCTCGTGATGAGGACTGAGCAGTGATCACAGAGACATTCTTCCAAAGGTGTAGGTGGTCTTGTTCTTCATCCCAGTTCAGTGTTTGGTCTGTGATCACACAGCCTTAGCTTGGTGAAGTGGGTACGGTGTTTTTTTATCTTACAGTGTTCTAAATAGGGTTCAAGTTTAATATATAATAGTCGTGAGAGGCGACTAATGGGATCGAATGGTCGGCTCGCTGACTTGGTGATGCATGTCATCGTTTCCCAATTGCATGGATCGATGCTCGTGATGTCAATCACTGGATTGTCTGGTTCAGTTTCGATTTTTTACAGACCGCCGTCATATAGCTGGAATATTGCTGAGTGCGGCGTCAAACAACAAACACTAACCCTTGGTGTGTTCAGTACTCTACGATTATATTTTGCGTTTACAATATTCATAGACACTGAAGTACAAATATTCTTGTTACAGGAATACTGTAACATCATCGGAAGCGATCTTGCCATGATCCGAACCCAGGCTCAGAGCGACTTTGTCAACGGTGTTCTCGCTGCCAATGCTCAAAATGGTAACTTTTAACTCGCTTATAATGTTTCTTGTCCGTTCTATATCACGAATAACAGATCAACAATTATTTCCACTTATACTAAGACCTTTTTGTTGTCAACGGGGTCATTAAGACCAAAGTAGGATCAATTGACAGTCGATTAATTTCAGTCCATCACACAGCACTTTAGCGGCTAATTCAATCTTAGCATCTAATCTTGAAGTTATTGGTGACGCTACTTACACAAGGTGTCAACGCTTAAGTTTCACACATGATGCTGATGAGGGACGCGCAGACTGAACATGGGCTGAGATCATGAAGCAGGCTCCCTCCTTTGGCTCAGCCTTGCATCATTATACTGAATCTTTTTTTCTCCTGCGTCCAATTGATGGACTAATGTAATAATCGCTTTAGCCATGATGTTTCGGGTAAGAATAGGTCCCCAGCACCCAATTGAGTGCGCCAAGCGGCAGCGTAATCGGATCGGTTGGTGAGACCCGGTGACGTGGTTCCTTGACGTCATAGGACGTTGCTCATGACATCAACCACAGGTTTGACTGATTGGATTTTCAGACTCGACTATTTATATTATGATCAAGTTGGAAATGTTGATGACTGCAGCGTAAAACAACAAAATATATTTAAATTATGACTTGAGTATTCATTACGTCTTTTGTGCCCTTTAGGTCAAGAATATTGGATTGGGGTGACCAATCTTCTCGACCGTGTCCAGTGGCGATATCTGTTGGGTGACGTTGTTCCACTGAATGGCTTCACCTCCCCACTCGTGAGCGGCACGGGCACCTGCAGCAGCTCTACTCTTACGACCCACCCTGAAAACTGCGCCGCCCTGGGGAAGAACGACGCCGGCCAATGGGTGTGGGACGACGAACAGTGTAACAGTGAGGAGTACTTCCTCTGTCTGGGAATCCTGCCCATACCTACATAGACTCTTTAACCCCCCCCCACCCCCACCCCCCCCACCCCCAACGTTGGTGCATTTAGTTTACAGTTATCATTAGTAAGAAATCTTGTCTAAAATAGGTTCTGAAAAACAAGCGTGTCGCGTACCTGCTAATTGAAGTCGTAAATGATTTAACAGCAATTGTGAAATGACATTCAGTGCCGCATCAGTTAACAAAATTGATGTCCCATGCTATTCCTTATTTTGACGTGTTCGTCATTATGTTCCCGTATTGGTTTAGGTGAACATTTGACTTGGTTTTGCATGTGTTTGTGACGGGTGCACCATTTCTTATGGAAATGTTTTTGTCACTTTTATTAATTATTATTATTATGGTTATGGAAATGTTCTTTTCTCTGTCTTCCTTCATAATCTTTTGGCACACAGAAAGTCATTTTGTCTTTGCTTTGGAAGGTTTTTTTAACGTAACGTTTTGTTACTGTTCGGTGCATGCTCTGCAGAACATTTCAGGAATAATGAGTATTTTATGAGTATAACATGTAATATGTCAGGTGAAGGGAACTTGTTCACTGTGTTGCATCTTCCCTAGTTCAGGCGCACATTCGTTCAGCGAAGTCGATAATCAGCTCCATATGTATATTTATATATTATATATACAGCTGAGTGACTAGTTCACGTAATAGTGTAGCTCGGAGTGCACGTGTGCTCTCTGGCCCGGTGATCTGCGGCGCTTCTACCAGGTGGTCGTTTGTCAATACCTCCAGCAATAGAGGCTGTATATTTAACTGATCATTGTGATTGTTTTGGTTTATTGTTTAACGCTGCACTCAGCAATATTCAAGCTATATGACAGCGGCTTGTAAATAATCGAGTCTGGACAAGGCAATCCGGTGATTGATATTATGAGCAACGCTCCACACCTTGTTGACGCACTACCAACAAGGGGCGATAGGGTAGCCTAGTGGTTAAAGCTTCCACTCGTCACGCCGGAGACCGGGGTTCGATTCCCCACATGGGTACAATGTGTGAAGCCCATTTCTGGTGTCTCCCGACGTGATGTTGCTGGAATATTGCTAAAAGTCGGCGTAAAATCATACCCACTCACTCACTACCAACAAAGTCACAGAACCTGCTAATAAAACTAACTCGACTCCAAAGCTTTGGTTGCCTGAGACCACTCTGATGAGGGATCCCCACGGTGTCGATGACAGAGAGATGGAAGATTGTATCAGTTAGATGAAAATGTTTCTACTATGTATTTTCTGAATATAACCGGAGTTTGCAATGAATTATTTCAATGTTCAATATTTGAATGTACTTTCTCCATAAATATCCTGAGAAAATATATTGGAAATAAAAAAGAGTTATTGAAATCAATGTGTCGTTTGTTGATGTACATTGTGTTAGTATTGTGAGATGTTGTGATGAAATAACAAGTTTATTTTTGTAAATGGGGTCCATAAATACCAGGTGAATGAAGATTATATTGAAAAATAAAAGGGCAAAAGATATTCTGCGACTTGGTCTTATATTGAAGTTGCAAAACTTATTGAACGCCCCTCGCACATGACGTTATGTTTTAAGGGGGCCGTCTAAATGTATACTTCAGAGTATGGAGGATCCAATCCCTCTTGTTATACCCATGCAACCGGGTAATACAACACACTGTTCCCGACACCTCCGTTCTAGGTTATTGTATGCGTATTTGGTTAAGATGTGAAGCCGTACGATATCCTATTAGCTGTGTCCATCACTGAATGGAAGTGAACGATTGGTAACCTGCGTGGTGAGAACGTATCCACTTAATGGAAGTGAACGATTGGTAACCTGCGTGGTGAGAACGTGTCCACTAAATGGAAGTGAACGATTGGTAACCTGCGTGGTGAGAACGTGTCCACTAAATGGAAGTGAACGATTGGTAACCTGCGTGGTGAGAACGTGTCCACTAAATGGAAGTGAACGATTGGTAACCTGCGTGGTGAGAACATGTCCTAAACATCCAATGTTTGGACCGAGTGAGTTTGGTTCAACGCCGCTTTGAAATGTAATTCGGTTCCATCACGGCGTGTCAACCAGATGAAGGCGAAAACCCCGAGGTGATGCAGGTCTTTGACGTTTATCTATTTGGTGAAACCCACAAGTACGTGTTTGGTGCTGGCAAACATTGAGACATAATCTGACTCACGATCATAGGTTCCTGGCATGCCTAAGGGACGCAACAAATTGCGGCACCTTAGACGACTGGCCACCCGTGACCTCATGTTTGCAGTAAGAGTAGACTAACTTGACCTGTAGTCACGGTGTGAGACCTTGTGTCAGTTTCTCTGGTGTTCGTTGATCTCTCAGCAAATGGTGTGCCGGATCCAGACTAACAACTTACGGGCCGTCATGATATAGCTTGAATATTGCTGACCCCGGCGTAAAACATCACTTTCTGAACAGTGATCCATTCTCATCGAGTAAAGAGCCCTTTTGTTTACATCTCACTGTTTTTGTTGTGCCTATCGGCTGTTGCGGTTTCTAAACGTCTTCATGTTAGTAATGCTTTTCAACGCCCGTCATGAAATCTTGACTTGAACCTGACTGTTTTATAAAGTGTTGAACCCTGCCAGTGTTTATATTTTCACACTGTTTATCATAGTTTGATGATGTGATAGTTAATTGAGTGAATAAATGTTGATTTCTCAATCTTAACCTGCTTATATTGGCCATATCACGCTTAGTCACCATGTCACCTTACCACCCATACATATCTTCTCATGTTACCTTACCACCCATACATATCTTCCTACGTCACCTTACCACCCATACATATCTTCTCATGTCACCTTACCGCCCATACATATCTTCTCCGGTCACCTTATCACGCATACATATCTCCCCACGTCACCTTACACACATACATATCTTCCCACGTCACCTTACCACGCATACATATCTTCCCACGTCACCTTATACACATACATATCTTCCCATGTTACCTTACACACATACATATCTTCCCATGTTACCTTACACACATACATATCTTCCCACGTCACCTTACTCACATACATATCTTCCCATGTTACCTTACACACATACATATCTTCCCACGTCACCTTACACACATACATATCTTCCCACGTCACATGACCCTCACACATATCTTCCCACGTCACATGACCCTCACACATATCTTCCCACGTCACCTTGCCACCCATATATATCTTCCCACGTCACCTTACACACATACATATCTTCCCACGTCTAACGACCCTCACACATATCTTCCCACGTCACCTTGCCACCCATATATATCTTCCCACGTCACCTTACACACATACATATCTTCCCACGTCACCTCACACACATACATATCTTCCCACGTCACATGACCCTCACACATATCTTCCCACGTCACATGACCCTCACACATATCTTCCCACGTCACCTTGCCACCCATATATATCTTCCCACGTCACCTTACACACATACATATCTTCCCACGTCTAACGACCCTCACACATATCTTCCCACGTCACCTTGCCACCCATATATATCTTCCCACGTCACCTTACACACATACATATCTTCCCACGTCACCTCACACACATACATATCTTCCCACGTCACATGACCCTCACACATATCTTCCCACGTCACATGACCCTCACACATATCTTCCCACGTCACCTTGCCACCCATATATATCTTCCCACGTCACCTTACACACATACATATCTTCCCACGTCACCTTACACACATACATATCTTCCCACGTCACATGACCCTCACACATATCTTCCCACGGCACGTGACCCTCACACATATCTTCCCACGTCACATGACCCTCACACATATCTTCCCACGTCACCTTGCCACCCATATATATCTTCCCACGTCACCTTACACACATACATATCTTCCCACGTCACATGACCCTCACACATATCTTCCCACGTCACATGACCCTCACACATATCTTCCCACGTCACCTTGCCACCCATATATATCTTCCCACGTCATCCTTCACACATACATATCTTCCCACGTCACCTTACACACATACATATCTTCCCACGTCACCTTACACACATACATATCTTCCCATGTCACCTTACACACATACATATCTTCCCACGTCACCTTACACACATACATATCTTCCCACGTCACATGACCCTCACACATATTTTCACACATCACCTTGCCACCCATATATATCTTCCCACGTCACCTTACACACATACATATCTTCCCACGTCACCTTACACACATACATATCTTCCCACGTCACCTTACACACATACATATCTTCCCACGTCACCTTACACACATACATATCTTCCCACGTCACCTTACACACATACATATCTTCCCACGTCACCTTACACACATACATATCTTCCCACGTCACCTTACACACATACATATCTTCCCACGTCACCTTACACACATATATATCTTCCCACGTCACCTTACACACATACATATCTTCCCACGTCACATGACCCTCACACATATCTTCATCATTTCATATAATCAAGTATTTACAGAATTACATAAACTGCAGGGCAAACGAAAACATACGTACACTTGAAAACTGGAATTGTCTAAAATATTACAAACGTTGAAAATAAAATCGCTGCAACTTAACGTCCAAACAACAACTTTCATCCCTGTTTCAAATACAACACCATCGGACAACCATTTCATGTTTGTTTCATTTCAGCCACCATCAAACGTGGGCGGTGGGGTAGCCTTGTGGTTAAAGCGTTCGCTCGTCACGCCGAAGACCCGGGTTCGATTCCCCACATGGGTGTAATGTGTGAAGCCCATTTCTGGTGTCCCCCCGTCGTGATATTGCTGGAATATTGCTAAAAGCGGCGTAAAAGCATACTCACTCACTCGCCATCAAACGTGGGTGTTTACTTTCTCTTGCTGTGTTGTTTAATTTTTGTATCAATTTATCTTGAAATTGGAAAATTATAAACAAGAATAAATCAGCAAATGGGGTTAATTCAAATAAGCGTGATATCAGTTGTGGAT